TTCCTTTATCAATGGAAGCATGTTTCATCAATAATACTAATAACGAAACCAGAAATAAAAATGCGAATGGTGATAATGAAAATGTCTAATAATAATGTCTAAGAAAATAATGATAGCAAGAAAATGATAATGATAGGTAATATGAATTAAATTATGTTCATAATAATGATGATAATGATAGATAATATGGAGTTTTATTAATAACAATGATGAGTGATAAAAATATCCGTAATAGATAATGATGATTGCATTATAATGACATTAAAATAAATCTAATATTGTTGACGTTATTGAAGTGTTAATGATCAGTGATGGTAATGATTGGTTCACCATCATGATAATGATGTTCATCATCATAATGTTAATATTGCTGCCGATGATGATAGCAATACTATTAACGAAAGCAGAAATGATGATAATAATGCCAATCATAATGATTACGTCTAAGATAATGACAAGGATTTCTGTAATGACAATTTAATGATAGTAATAAATCATGATAGCAATAAAACAATCAAGTTGATGATAATGATGATACATTATGCTAAGCAAATCTAGAGAAAAGTAGATTTATCATTTTAATGATTCAACGAATACTAGCCAGGTCAAAGAAGAGAGATGAATGAGAAACAAGTAGTTTGATCTTGAAGGCACTGGGAGCAAGACACAAGGAAATAATTAATAAGCAGAAACAGCTTTCACACTAAAGCCGAGAATACATACAAAAAACCTTTATCATGAATACAAAGGTTTCATTATATCTCCTAAGTTTTCCAATGGATTAGTCTACGTTGTTTTATTACAACAGATAATTAGATTTGAATTCATAAAGAACTCGTAGATTATCTAACTTGTTTTTTCTTGAATCATTTTTTGTATATTTGAAAATAACTATCTATTTTCAGTGATTACATATCTTATATAATCTGATTTAACGATGTTTATTCTCATGATAATAATGTTCATCATCTACATGATAATAATGATGTTCATCTTCATGATAATGTTCATCATCTACATGATAATAATGTTCATCATCTTCATGATAATGTTCATCATCTACATGATAATAATGATGTTCATCATCTTCATGATAATGTTCATCATCTACATGATATCAATGATGTTCATCATCTTCATGATAATAATAATGTTCATCTTCATGATAATAATGATGTTCATCATCTTCATGATAATAATAATGTTCATCATCTTCATGATAATAATGATGTTCATCATCTACATGATAATAATGATGTTCATCATCTTCATGAAAATAATGAGGTTCATCTTCATAATAATAATGTTCATCATCTTCATGATAATAATGTTCATCATCTTCATGATAATAATGATGTTCATCATAATGATAATAATGCTGCTGCCCATAATTATAGGAATACTAATAACGAAAGTAGGCATTATTATGATAATATTGTTGCCGATGGTGATAGCAATACTAATAACGAAATAAGGAATTATATCGATAATATTGTTGCCGATGGTGATAGCAATACTAATGCAATACTAATAACGAAATAAGGAATTATATCGATAATATTGTTAACGATGGTGATAGCAATACTAATAACGAAAGAAGGAATTATATTGATAATAATGCCAGTCACAATGATTACATCTCAGATAAAAATTATATGGATTTCTGTAATGACAATAATTAACAATAATGAAAGTAATAAAAATGATACTAATAAATGATTATAGCAATAAAACAATGCTGTTGATGATAATGATGATACATTATAAGCAAATCTACAGCTATAAGAATAAAGGTATTATTTTAATAATTCTTCACTGATCATAATGATTCAGCGAATACTGGCCATTAGTTGATTTTAGTTGTGCAGGTATTGCCCACCTATAGGTATATTAGAAGTTGTACGACGAAAGGAAAGTGTTAATTGATAGATAATTTACGTGAAACTGTCTTTATTGAAATTTCTCATCTAATCACTATGATAACAGTTATATACCGTGGATGTTTCGATAGCCGTTGCTACGTAATTAACGGTTTCCTTGATGTATTCTGTCTGGTAAACTGTCTTGTGGATTGGCCAAGCGTTCGTCATAGTTCTGGTAACAAATACTGGGACGTAGATGAGGGAGGTGAACACATCAGCTTGGGTCAGTGATACCGTTTGTATGATGGAAGAAGAAACCGTGTCTGTTAAGGAGATGGTAGATACAGCCGTAGAAATAGTTGTCCACTGAAGTTGCGTCAGTTGGTCTTCAAGTTGGGTAGCCGAATAAGTGACGGTGATGGTCTGAGGCTGATAGATGGTTCGAATGTATGCCCTGTTCTTCTCATTGATCTTCAGCTCCGTAACGTAGTGAGTTGAGTAAGCCAAGTGTGGAGCCTGATATTCGGAAACCGTTTCCGTGTGAGTAACGGTAAAGGGTTCGCATGTTGTGGTCGTGACGCTGACGTATGCAGATTGAAGATCTAGATGAGTGGCGGTGAGGAGAACGGTGCTAAATTCCAGTCGAGTGCTTGTGAGAGTGACTGCAGAAAACTCCTCTTGACACTGCTTGAGAGGCAAGTCTGGCTGAAGACCATTAGTTGCTCTAAGCAAAACAAGGGCAGCCCAGACAACGAAAGCTGTTGCGTTGAAACTCATATTGGCTATCGTTATTAGTTGTTCCACTGAACTATGCTTTTCCAACAAGAGACCTGATCTTATATTTGAAGTGGATTGCAGGGACGAGGTCAAAGAAGAGAGATCAATGAGAAACAAGTAGTTTGATCTTGAAGGCACTGGGAGCAAGACACAAGGAAATAATTAACAAGCAGAAACAGCTTTCACACTAAATCCGAGAACACATACAAAAAACCCTTTTCATGAATACAAAGGTTTCATTATATCTCCTAAGTTTTCCAATGGATTAGTCTACGTTGTCTTATTACAACAGATAATTAGATTTGAATTCATAAAGAATTCGTTGATTAACTAATTTATTTTTTCTTAAATCCTTTTATGTATGGTTGAAAATAACTATTTATTTTCAGTAATTAAATATCTTATATAATCTGATTTAACTATTTATTTTCAGTGATTAAATATCTTATTTAATCTGATCTATTTATTTTCAGTGATTAAATATATTATTTAATCTGATATAATGATGTTCACCATCTTCATGATAATGATGATATTCACCATCTTCATGATAATGATGATATTCACCATCTTCATGATAATGATGATGTTCATCATGATAATGATGATGTTCATCATGATAATGATGATGTTCATCATGATAATGATGATGTTCATCATGATAATGATGACGTTCATCATGATAATGATGACGTTCATCATGATAATGATGACGTTCATCATGATAATGATGACGTTCATCATGATAATGATGACGTTCATCATGATAATGATGACGTTCATCATGATAATGATGACGTTCATCATGATAATGATGACGTTCATCATGATAATGATGACGTTCATCATGATAATGATGACGTTCATCATGATAATGATGACGTTCATCATGATAATGATGACGTTCATCATGATAATGATGACGTTCATCATGATAATGATGACGTTCATCATGATAATGATGACGTTCATCATGATAATGATGACGTTCATCATGATAATGATGACGTTCATCATGATAATGATGACGTTCATCATGATAATGATGACGTTCATCATGATAATGATGACGTTCATCATGATAATGATGACGTTCATCATGATAATGATGACGTTCATCATGATAATGATGACGTTCATCATGATAATGATGACGTTCATCATGATAATGATGACGTTCATCATGATAATGATGACGTTCATCATGATAATGATGACGTTCATCATGATAATGATGATGTTCATCATGATAATGATGATGTTCATCATGATAATGATGATGTTCATCATGATAATGATGTTCATCATCTTCATGATAATGATGATGTTCATCATCTTCATGATAATGATGATGTTCATCATCTTCATGATAATGATGATGTTCATCATCTTCATGATAATGATGATGTTCATCATCTTCATGATAATGATGATGTTCATCATCTTCATGATAATGATGATGTTCATCATCTTCATGATAATGATGATGTTCATCATCTTCATGATAATGATGATGTTCATCATCTTCATGATAATGATGATGTTCATCATCTTCATGATAATGATGATGTTCATCATCTTCATGATAATGATGATGTTCATCATCTTCATGATAATGATGATGTTCATCATCTTCATGATAATGATGATGTTCATCATCTTCATGATAATGATGATGTTCATCATCTTCATGATAATGATGATGTTCATCATCTTCATGATAATGATGATGTTCATCATCTTCATGATAATGATGATGTTCATCATCTTCATGATAATGATGATGTTCATCATCTTCATGATAATGATGATGTTCATCATCTTCATGATAATGATGATGTTCATCATCTTCATGATAATGATGATGTTCATCATCTTCATGACAATGATGATGTTCATCATCTTCATGATAATGATGATGTTCATCATCTTCATGATAATGATGATGTTCATCATCTTCATGATAATGATGATGTTCATCATCTTCATGATAATGATGATGTTCATCATCTTCATGATAATGATGATGTTACAATAGTTACAATATACAGACTTGATTGGTAGCTTGCAATATACAACATGCGCCTCTTTTAGATAAATATTAATTATATTTAAATATGATTTTGTTACACAATAAGAAAAGGAATTTGGAATATATGGATATGCAAAACATACTTTGAACCGATTAAGTTTTTGATTATCACAGTTTTAGAAATAGCTACACATTGAAATGATTAAGTTTTGAGTATACACCATGTACCAAAATAATATATAGTCTACGTAGTAGTTTAAAATATATAAATTTAGAATATAGAATTTTGAAGTTACAAATTTTCTATTAAAATTCAGTTACAAAATATTTCACTCAAAGTTTGCATGACACATGTAGTTAGCATTTTGATATTTAAAGTCTGGATTCTTTGTGCTTTTGATGGTTCTTCCTGACCTGGAGACCTTCTGTGGTGCAGGTTGCTTTGGGGTCATAGAGTGCTTGTTTGGAGTTTTTGCACTGGGTTGCTGTTTCTCTTGCACTCTCACTGGTCCATGTACATCTGGTGGAATGTTCACATTGGTGTTGGGATTGGGATCAGGGGTCCTGGGAATCTGTCTGGTTGGTGATGGAATGCTGACAGGCTGGGGATTAATTGGCTTCACCATGGATGGTGTAGGAGGCCAAATGGGCTGGGGTGGATCACTTTGAGGCATAGGCACATGACGGGTTTTTATATCATGTACATTCCTCCTTATCCTTCTGTTGTTTTCATTAACCAGCCAATAGGAGTTTGGATGGTCATCTTTTTGGTCGATGACAGCTGGTTTCCATTCTGCGGTACCGTCCTCAGTGTACCATACCGGCTGTTTGGGGATGTACTTCGATCACATCACTGGGTGGTCTGAGATGTGATGATCGTTTGTCACTGAGCATTTTCTTTTGGGACTCTATCAGCTGTTGGGATGGCAGAGCAGGTGAGATTCTAGAACTTCTCCTGTCAAAATGAAGTTCTGATGGGCTTGGGAGATTGTCACTAATTGGGGTATCATGGTATGCTAGAAGAGCCAGAGTGATTTGGACGCTTGATTTTGTTTTCTTTAAGATTTTCTTAACTGTTTGGATGGCTCTTTCAGCTTTACCATTGCCTTGGTGGTGGTAAGGGCTTGAGGTGTCATGGTTGATATCCAGTTCCTTGCAGAATTTATTGAATTCTTCTGATTTGAAACAGGGTCCATTATCAGAGAGTATTCTTTCTACTGTTGCTCCCATTTTCTGGAATGTTCCATTAAGAGCTGTTATGACACTACCAGTAGAGGCTGATGTTAATGCGTCATATGTGATGAATGATGAATAGTAGTCAACTGTTACAAGGCCGTAGTTTCCATTTAGTTGGAGCAAGTCAACTGCTATGACTTCCATGGGCCTAGTGGCAGAGAGTTGTCTCTCAGGGGGACGGGGTTTCTTGTTAGCGTGTATTTGGCATTCACTGCATTTGTTGATGACATCAGCTATGTCCTGCTGTATTTTAGGCCAGTACACTGTTGTACGAGCACGTCGAAGGGTTGTGGTGAGGCCTTGATGACCTTCATGAAGACGTTTTATTGTCTTACTTCTCATTGACGCAGGCACAATTACACGGTTGGACTTCATGATGAGTCCATCCATGATGGTCATTTCATCACGAAAACACCAGTATGCATGAAGGTGTTCTGGGAGGTCACTCATGCTTTCAGGCCATCCTGATATGATGAGCTCTTTGAGTTCATTGAGGGTGGGATCAGCCTTGGTCTCTTCCTGGAGCTGGGCTAGTCGAGAAGGCTTGATTGACATAACCTGAGCTATGTGTATATCAAGTCCTGGGACTGGGGTGCCATGTGGCTCAACTGTGGTTCATCATTAATTTCACGATGAACATTATCATGATGGTGGGCATCGTTATCATTATGATGAACATTATTATCATGATGAATATCATCTTTATCGTGATGATGAACTATTACTATCATAATAAACATTATCATCATGATGAATGTCATTATCATCATTTTTAGTGTCAAGCACATATCACGTCATTGCCATTTCTAATGTCAGCATTGATTCATTGGCATTGTAATGGGAGACGCTCGTTCTCCGTCTTTATTATTTTCATAATGGTCGATAATTATGAATGAGTAATTAGGATTCATAAATATTAATGAGTATCACTGATCGATAAATGCCAATGAGTAAAATTTTAATAGATAAATGTCAATGAGTAATTGTGTAATTATGAAAGGTGTGGCCATCCGATCTCACAAGTGAGACTGCATTCACCTGGGTATTAAACATGAACAAAATATTTATTGTATTCAATTTCTTTTGAACACTTTAATCCGCTTAATCTTTGTCTGTATTGTTTATGGTTGTTATCAATGTTAGTTCACATTTTATTTCTAATATAATAGCAGGTTTTACAGATTTGAAACTAAAGGATACTCTTGATAAACCATATAACATGTTTTACTGTGTAGATATTGCTTAGCTCGTTATTACTCTCAAATTGTAAATTTTTAATTTTGGAATCATTTTCGTTTCATAAAAAAAATATTCTATTACTACAGTTACCTTACATATTGTTATTATGATCACCATTATCATCATTCGCATTCTTCTTTCTGCTTTCGTTATGAGTACTATTGATTCACAATGATATTTGGTGTGACTTACTTTGATAATAACACAAACCATACATTTCCATTGATAAAGAAAACTCTTGATAAAACACATTAAGAAACTCCAACATTACTGTTTCCTATGTAGATATTGGTGAGGCCGCACCACTACACTGGAATTGTAGAATTAAAAATTCGGGGTTAATTTCTTTCCATAAGAGTCAGGATGGCCGAGCGGTCCAAGGCGCTGCGTTCAGGTCGCAGTCCGGTCTTCCGGGCGTGGGTTCGAATCCCACTCCTGACACTGCTTTTAGAGCCTATTCATAACACTTTAAACAGCCCCCATGTGTGGAATGAAAAGGCTGCTTGGCATCTTTATTGTGAAAGTAGATTTTGCACAATCAACACATTTTCATAGCTGGTAAAAATAGCAAATAATTTTCCTGTCACTAGAGCTTATTATAAGTAGATATCAACTTACCTTGATATTGTCATTAGATCTAATACGTTGTTCTCATTTTCATACCATGTTATCTTCATGTCATAATTACTTCATCACTATTATTACCATCTATTACTGCTAGTATTTATCATTATCATTTGATTACCATCATTATCAATTACTTCATCAATTACTATATTTTTTTAAAGTCATTAATGCAATCAGTATCATTATTATCATTTCTCTTTATAATAATCATATTAATTCTATATTGGTTATTAGTATTGCTATCGCCAACTTCATTATTATCATGACCTTAATCACCATTATTATTATCATCATTATCCGGATTATTTCTATGATGCCTATCAGTGTCATGGATATATCACTGTCATCGTCATTTCTAAAGTCAGTATTTATTCCTGGCTGTTATGAAAGTCATTATTACTGATCAAGTATTTTTTATTATTGATAATCTAATGATTTACTAAAGTAATGTAACGAAAAGGTTTCTTTATGTCTTTTCGTCTTTAGTGTGAAACCAGTGTTCCTGCTTATTACTTTGTCCTTACTAGTGTCATCGTCTCTTGCCTTTGCCTTTAAGATGAAAATAGGAAGACCGGACTGCGACCTGAACGCAGCGCCTTGGAACGCTCGGCCATCCTGACTCTTATAGAAAAAATTGACCCCGAATTTTTAATTTTACAATTCCAGTGTAGTGGCTCGACCTCCGCAGTATCTACACAGTAATGTTGGAATTTCTGTAGAAGTTATATCAAAAGTTTCCTTTCTCAATTGAAGCATGTTTCATCAATACTAATAACGAAACCAGAAATAAAAACGCGAATGATGATAATGAAAATGTCTAATAATAATATTTAAGAAAACAATGATAGTAAGAAAATGATAATGATAGATAATATGAATGGAATTATGTTAATAATAATGATGATAATGATAGATAAAATGGAATTATGTTAATAATAATGATGATAATGATAGATAAAATGGAGTTATATTAATAACAATGATGAGCGATAAAAATATCCGTAATAGGTAATGATGATTGCATTATAATGACATTAAAATAAATCCAATATTATTAATGATAGTGATAAATCACCAGTGACGTTATTGAAGTGTTAATGATCAGTGATGGTAATGATTAGTTCACCATCATGATAATGATGATGTTCATCATCATAATGTTAATGTTGCTGCCGATTATGATAGCAATACTAATAACGAAAGCAGAAATGATGATAATAATGCCAATCATAATGATTACGTCTAAGATAATGACAAGGATTTCTGTAATGACAATTTAATGATAGTAATAAATTATGATAGCAATAAAACAATCAAGTTGATGATAATGATGATACGTTATCTAGATGAAATAACAATAATAACATACAGCTGAATTTATCATTTTAATGATTCAACGAATACTAGCCAGTTTTAATTATACAGGGATTGCCCACGTATCGGTATATCAGTAGTTGTACAACGAAAGGAACGAATGGAAAGTGGTAATTGATAGATAACTTGGTGAAACCGACTTTATTCAAATCTCTCAACTAGTAACTATGATAACAGTTATATACCGTGGATGTTTCGACAGCCGTTGCTACGTAATTAACGGTTTCCTTGATGTATTCTGTCTGGTAAACTGTCTTGTGAATTGGCCAGGCGTTCGTCATAGTTCTGGTAACAAATACTGGGACGTAGATGAGGGAGGTGAACACATCAGCTTGGGTCAGTGATACCGTTTGTATGATGGCAGAAGAAACCGTGTCTGTTAAAGAGATGGTAGACACAGTCGTAGACGTAGTTGTCCACTGAAGTTGCGTCAGTTGGTCTTCAAGTTGGGTAGCCGAATAAGTGACGGTGATGGTCTGAGGCTGATAGATGGTTCGAGTGTATGCCCTGTTCTTCTCATTGATCATCAACAACAATTGAGTAAGCCAAGTGTGGAGCCTGATATTCGGAAACCGTTTCCGTGTGAGTAACGGTAAAGGGTTCGCATGTTGTGGTCGTGACGCTGACGTATGCGGATTGAAGATCTAGATGAGTGGCGGTGAGGAGAACGGTGCTAAATTCCAGTCGAGTGCTTGTGAGAGTGACTGCAGAAAACTCCTCTTGGCACTGCTTAGGAGGCAAGTCTGGCTGAAGACCATTAGTTGCTCGAAGCAAAACAAGGGCAGCCCAGACAACGAAAGTTGTTGCGTTGAAACTCATATTGGCTATCGTTGTTAGCTTTTCCATTGAACTATGTTTTTTTCTAACAAGAGACCTGATCTTATATTTGAAGTGGATTACAGGGACGAGGTCAAAGAGAGATCAATGAGAAACAAATAGTTTGATCTTGAAGGCACTGGGAGCAAGACACAAGGAAATAATTGATAAGCAGAAACAGCTTTCACACTAAAGCCGAGAACACATACAAAAAACCCTTTTCATGAATACAAAACTTTCATTATATCTTCTAAGGATTCCAATGGATTAGTCTACGTTGTTTTATTACAACAGATTACATTTTAAATCATAAAGAATTCGTTGATTATCTAATCTGTTTTTCTTGAATCAATTCAAATCTTTACGATAATAATGATGTTCATCTTCACGATATTAATGATGTTCATAATAATGCCACTCATAATGATTACGTCTAAGATAATAATGATAAGGATATCTGTAATGATAATAATAACAATAATGAAAGTAATAAGTAATGATACTAATAAATGATAGCAATAAAACAATTTTGATGATCGTTATGATACTTTAGGCTAAGCAAACATAGAGCTATAAGAATGAATTTATTACTTTAATAATTCTTCACTGCCAGTTTTAATTGTACAGGGATTGCTCATGTATAGGTATATTAGCAGTTGTACGACAAAAGGAAAGTGTTAATTGATAGATAATGTACATGAAACCGACTTTATTTAAATCTCTCATCTACTTACCATGATAACAATTATATACCGTGGGTGTTTCGACAGCCGTTGCTACGTAATTAACGGTTTACTTGATGTATTCTGTCTGGTAAATTATCTTATGGATTGGCCAGGCGTTCGTCATAGTTCTGGTAACAAATACTGGGACGTAGATTAATAAGCAGAACAAATTAATAAGCAGAAACGCTACTTCTATATATAGTAAGGATTCCAATGGATTAGTCTACGTTGTTTTATTACAACATAAAATTATATATTAAACCATAAAGAATTCGCACTGGGAATAAGAGATGGTGACACGCTGATAATAAGTAGGACAAATACTTTTACACTAAAGCCGAGAAGACAGAATACAGCGTGTCCACTTTCGTTATATCACCCATGCCAATGTATTAGTTTCCTTGCTGCATCACTGATTGTAATTTACAAAAAAAAAAACTCTAAAATGTATTTCGTTTTAAGAGACAATGCAATGTGTCTCTAAAATCATATTGAATCTTGCAGAATGATATGTAAGTAGCTTATGGTCGAGTATCACAGCAATGATGAAAATAACAATGATGGTAGAACGAGCGCCTTTCATATCAACAATAGCAATGAACTAATGCTGACATTGGAAATAACGACGTCGATAAAACCAATGATAATTACAATAATAATTGGAACTGGAACACTGGAATTGTAAAATTCAAAATTGGGGGTCAATTTCTTTCCATAAGAGTCAGGATGGCCGAGCGGTCCAAGGCGCTGCGTTCAGGTCGCAGTCCGGTCTTCCGGGCGTGGGTTCGAATCCCACTCCTGACACTGCCTTTAGAGCCTATTCATAACAGCCTAAACAGCTCCCATGTATGGCATGAAAAGGCTGCTTGGCATCTTTAATGTAAAAGTAGATTTTGCAGAATTTTATTTTATTAGATTTCAGTATGATTGCAAATAATTATGATCAAAGAATAATAAAAACAACACATTTTCATAGCTGGTAGAAATAACAAGTCATACTTTCCTGTCACTAGAACTTATTATAAGTAGTCAAGATATCAACTTACCTTGATATTGTCATTAGATCTTATACGGTGTTCTCATTTTAATAGCATGTTATCTTCATTGCCATACCAACTCACATTAGTATACTTCACGGTCATGATCATGATGTGTTAATCATTACTTAATAATTATTGTTATCATCATTATTATCATTATCATCATTATTATCATTATTACCATTATTATTATTATTCTCTATTGTTGTTATTATTATCTATTGTTATTATTATTATCTATTGTTATTATCATCTATTATTATTATTATCATTATCATCTATTATTATTATTATCATCATTATCATCTATTATTATTATTATCATTATCATCTATTATTATTATTATCATCATTATCATCTATTATTATTATTATCATTATCATCTATTATTATTATTAT